AACAAACCAAGCAACTGATCGAGTCCTTTAATGCAGTGTTTCATGTTTTATGATTGTCTATATGTCATAACCCCATCACAGCTGCAGTGAAAATACCTCACTAAAAGTGATTTCAACATCTGCCGCAACCTGACTGGGTTTAGAGCAAAAAGTAATGATTTCGTTAAAGGCTTATATAACGAACGAATATCAAAGTATTGGTCATTAATTTAGAGTGACTGCCTTTTCGTAGGAATGTCAGAAAAATGCGGAGCTTTTTTTTCTTCCCTTTTTTACTATTTTTCACGACGACCGTGCACGATTTGGCGGGAAACCTGGAAAATCGTGATTATCTTCACAGATTAAACGAGAGAGTTGGCGTTTTCTCCTTTTTTCTGTGTATTTATGTATGCGCGGGAGCACGCACACGCACACAAGGTCTATATAAGTAGTTATATAGACCTTGCAAACACACGCATACACATGCACACGCACACACATACACACCCACTTATACGCATACACACGCCCATGCCCAGGCATACGCACGGCCATGCCCAGGCATACGAAACGCCCATACCCAGGCATACGAAACGCCCATGCCCAGGCTTACGAAACGCCCATGCCCAGGCATACGAACGCCATGCCAGGCACGCCCACGCACGCCAACGCATACGCACGCCCACGCCCATGCACGCCCACGCACGCCCACGCATACGCACGCCCACGCATACGCACGCCCACGCCCAGGCATACGCACGTCCACACATACGCACGCCCACGCATACGCACGCCCACGCATACGCACGCCCATGCCCACGCACACACACACATGCATACGCACGCGCACGCATACACACGCACACGCATTCACGCATACTCACACACGCACATGCACACGCATACCCTCGCACACGCATGCACGCACACGCATGCACGCACACGCATGCACGCACGCACACACACAGAGAAAACACAAACACAGACAAAAACGCACACACACACATACATATATTAACTGTCACTCTCACTCTCGGACTCACTCATTCTTGATCTCATACTCCCACTCCCACTCTCTCTTACAATCACTCTTGCACTCACTCTCATTCTCATCTCTCACTCTCATTCTCTATCTCTCACTCTCACTCTCACTCTCACTCTCACTCTCACTCTCATTCTCTCACACACACACACACACACACACACACACACACACACACACACACACACACACACACACACACACACACACACACACACACACACACACACACACACACACACACACACACACACACACACACACACACACACACACACACACACACACACACACACACACACACACACACACACACACACACACCACACACACACACACACACACACACACACACACAGAGAGAGAGCACAGGCATACACAGCACAGGCATAAACATGCATGAGCTCACACATTTGTAGACATAAATTAGGCTGTATTTAAGGATGTATAATCAAGAGAGAAGGAAAGAAATTCCACTAATTTGACCACAGACTATTAAAAGGACCTTGACTGTAAATGTCTCAAAAACAGGTCATTGCTGCTCTTGACCGTAATTGCTTAATTCTATATGGATCCTTTTTCAGACTTTTTTTAGACTTTTTATGTATATTTTGTTCTGATGTTTATATGATCAGCCTATTCACCAATGCATGTTATTTGTAGGAAGGGGATGTCTGTGTGCGTTAAGAATTAAGGTTTTATTGTACTGTATGTTCCGTGTTAAGCCCTTCCTGAATTTTATCTTTTGTTTCAAGTTCTGGATAATTTTCTACATATGGTTTTGATTTGTATATGTTATTACATTACATTCTATACTTAGAGACATATTTATAGTGCTGGAGGTATTAGGTATTTCATATTTTAGTTATTCAAAAGACCAATGTCTGTCCTCTGAATCTTTTAATGAAAGAGATTCTGCATGGAGTCTTATGTGTAAGGGAAAGATAATTCAATTTTTTTTAAAAATTATTAGTTACTTTTAGAAAGCTAAAAGCACTCATTATGCTCTTCTTCCTAGGTTCTGGTACCTGAGCCTGGTCGCATGTGTCCGCAACTCCTCTTGCTCCTGGCAGCATGTACGTAAGCCTGTGAGAATGGAGTATGATATAAATATTGTCAATGGCAATCCTAATGGTGCAGACCACAACCCTTTTGAGTACCACTTCTCTTTTGACAAGCAGGTAAGTGTATTTTTTGGTAAGAGATTCATTGTAAAGAATAGTAGTAAGATACATAGAAAAAAAATATTATGAAATATAGAAATTTAGATATTTTAATCTACATTCGTAAATGAATTTATAGACAGAATCTATATGCTATCTTATGTGCTGTTTTGGTCACAAATGTCTTTAACATACTAATCTGATATTATGTGTAAAATAGATTGCCAACCTTTTAACTGACTTTCTTTTAACAGGACACAGTAGAAATATATCTGGTATGTGTGGTACTCTATGGCTTTTTGTTGGTACCACTACAAGTGTATGCAGCATGTCGCCAGGTGAGGAGATATGTTGGCAATGTCCTTTTTACTTTTGTATTTTCTTTTCTGTTATTCTTCATTTTTTTCTTGTTTGTCTTTGTCTCTCTGTTTAGCTTTCAGTGAGTTGGTTTCTGTGTGTGTGTGTTTGACTTTGTCTTTTTCCATTCTTACAGTTACCATGGTACAAATAGATGAATATATCAGTCACAGGATTCAGTGTGAAATTCCATTGCTTGCCTGAGAATTTATTTTTTATATATACATTTATATGAATTTTCAAGTAATTCTCTTGCTATTTAGAGAAATAGCATGTCAGTAGTAGTTGTATGTTATTATGGAAGTAGTAGAGATTCTTGAGGTATTGTGTGGTAGGTTACTTATATATGTGTTGATTTTTTATTTATTTATTTTTATTTGTTATTTTTCTTTTTAGGAGAAGGGTAAATTGGTCAAATAGTACTTGTAAGGGATTTTTCTGTTACCTTGGAGATTTTCTTGTATTGTACACTGCATAAAGATTTTATATTGTTTTAAAAGTATTAATCATTTTTATGAATGCAGAGAAAACACAGGTTTTACTTTTTTTCGTTAATGACATTCAGATGCAATGTAGGTATTGGCATACATTTTAACATCATTACATGATTATAATTGTTAATATGTTGTTTAGCTAATTGTACTTGGTTAATTATACTATAATTATAACCATGAACTATTTTAATTTGCCTCTTGTGGGACAGATTTCCCTCTTTCTATTTTTTCTAGTATCACCAATTTTCAGATTTGTATATTGCCAAATGTGAGACTATCATACTTCTATATTCTGTGGTATTAAATTCTAAACTTTATAAAATTTCAAAGCTTATAATGACTGTCATCTAGGTAAGATGGAAATACTTTATGCTTTCCATTTTCTAAACTTGGGCACTCCTTTACAGATCCACCCCATCACCCGCCTGTTCACAGCCACCCTCATCATGCAGCTTGCGGGCCTTCTCTTTGATACTCTGCACCTGCTTGTGTTTTCCTTTGATGGGGAAGGTAGTGAAGGTGTGAACATCGTGGGTGACCTCTTCAACATTTTAGCCCAGGTATGACATGTTTCTTTTTTTTTCCACTTTCTTTTCAGTTTGGTTGTATAATCTTCTCTCTCATGGATCATTGTTACATGATTTGTTTTCTTTGATTTTTTCAGTGTTTTTTGAGTGTCAGTGTTTGATATTGATAATCATTTGGTTCTCTTTGATTTATGTTTTGCTTATTCTGATATAGACTATTTAGTGTTTTTTTAAATATTTACCTGTGGATTTGACACATATGTATGAAATAAATGGTATATATTATGAATCACATAAGGTGACGTTAATTTTATTGATTAATTTATATGTTTGTTTTGCTTTCATAACTTTAATTTTTTCTAACTCTGTAAATCTACTTGGAAGTATTACTATAATGAATACAAATGGTATCTAAATTTTCACTGTGTATTCAGATAACAAACAAGCAAATATTCAAGTTTGTATATATTCTGGTTAGTTTGTTTGATTTATTTGGTAATGGTTATATTATCTTTTAACCCCTATGATCTGAATGATGTGACAATTTGTTATGAAAAAAAATGGTTTGAGGACTGTATGACATAAACATCCTTTCATGGGAAAATCTGGCTGTGGGCCAGGGTAAAGTGAATTTGCCAATGTGATCATTTCGACTGAAGGCCGGATCACTCTCTTGGAGGGCCATTAGACTCATTTGGCATTATTTACATTGATAAACAAATGTAGAATGTAGTGTTTGAGCCATGACTGGAAGTATGCCAGCTCTAGGGAACACACCATTTCCATGCTCAGCATTCTATTACTGGCCACCAAGACCAGCAGCACAGGTAGTATTGCAGAATGTTGAATAACCAAAAAAGACAAATTACAAAATGTTACTTTTTGTTGTAATTCTTGCACTTTTTATATTGTTATTATTTATTGTTATTATTCTTGCACTGAATTATGGACTACCTAGAGAGATGGTATGGAGTCTGTGCAAGGAAAACCATCTATGCCATCTGGATAAAGCAAATCAAATGACAGCTATGGACATTAGAAAATAGCAAAAAAGCAAAAAAATTCTTATGCTTAAAAAGAGAAATAATATTACAAAGGTGATGGCATATAGCTTTGAAACCACACACAAGTGTTTGTGTGCGCCCAGCCTAAAAGCTGCGCATGTGGCTGCCCATGTAAGCCTAATGCTTGTATTTTAGGCCATGTGATTGGCCTGAAGTGTCTGGTTCTAGTGGGTTAAAAGCTGAAGGACATCCTTCTTGCCCATCAGAAATCACCTTTATTTCTATAGTACATTCGTTCCTCCTCTTTTGAAGTATATATTTTTACCTTTGTCATTCGAGGAGATACTGTTGATAATACTTTTTGTCTGTACAAAAATATAAAGGTAATACCAGTTCTATTATTTCCTTTGCAAAATTTATTAATATTAATTTGT